GGGAGGATGGGAAGGTGAGGGAATAGGGGAGATGGATATGTAAATATGAGTGATTAAAAACAAAAAAAGGAAAAAAAAGAACCAAAAATAGACTATGAAGGAGATCTAAGGCAAGGATAGAAGCTGTAAATTCATGATTTGAGAGGCCCATTTCCCCAAATCAGGAATCAGTTAACACTAATTGAATGAAGGAAATATACCGTATATGAGCCACAGAGAAATGTATATATTTGCTTTACACACACACACACACACACACACACACACACACACACAATTTGTTCACCCAAGACTAGGACCTGATTCATCCAGGATCCAGTGACTCAGTTTGCCCCAGTGATCCTATCAGTGTTAATCACAAATGTGAGCCATGCCATCCAAGAGAGCTACCTACTAGATCAGATCTGAGATGAGTGGACACCCGTAAAGGTTATAGGTGTCAAGCATATGTCCCCAAACTTGATCTCAGTCTCCAGTGCTTTGCTGAAGACTTGGCAAAAGTTGATCATAGTCCAGCTAAGATGACCAACCTGATCCAGCTTGATTGACCCCCATGTTTTCATCTGTGCTGTCAGGAGTGAGTACCACTTTCATTTTGGAGCTCTTAGCTTTGCTTCGAAATATCCTCAAAACAGTGCGATGGGATTCTGTGTTCTTCTAGTACATTCTATTGCAGTATTAAAGCTTAGATTCCCCTGTCTCTCTCCCTCACAAAAAAGAAAATTATCTGCCAATAGCTGCTAGTAATAACTCTTAGTTTCTAAGTGACAAATATTATATCTTTTAGTATTTTTTTATTTTTAAGAGTTCATTGTAAGTGATTAATCCTTGTGTTAGCAAGTTTATTAGCTTTCAGAAAACTATTCTTTGCTGTTGATTTTGTTAATTCAAAATGTCTCTAGAAAATTATACAGCACAATGAAAATTCAACTATATGGGAAAAAAACCTTGAGGAAAAACACTTTTTTCCACTAAGGAGAGAATTTGATCACCTATAGTGCCATAGTGTTACATATTCCAGCCACAATGTGGATTGGAATATCAGGGAAATGGAGGTAAAGAAGGCATTGGAGGGGGCCATCTCTGAAGAACTAACTTGGCCGTAGGAATCAGAGCAGAAGCCTTGAGAACTCCAAACTATGAGCCTTACTTTATTTGGGTCACTAAAACAAGACAGTGGATAATTAGGAGAGGTGACATGGAGTCCGGGTTATGTTCCGCACAGTGACAGTCCTTGATGTGGGGGAAAGTGAAACTCCTGAGCATCATGCTCTGCCTTTTGCAGTTATCCTTGTGAAGAACATGCCTGATGCCATTTGTTTACTGTCTTCTCCTGGGCCAGGATATCCTGTAGACCCAGGTTTTGCTGTACTCATGGTCTGTACTAATGCTTAATAAATGTTTACTGAGTGAATAAGTAAAGCCTGGGGGAGATGGAAACATGTTATGTACCAGGGAGTAGGAAGGGCATGGTATGCATAGAAGGGATTTTCATAGCCGAGAGACTTGTTCAATTTGAGGTAATAACCCAGCCTCTCTGGGAGGTGCATGGAGGCCAAGTGTTTGCTTATGGTGAGAATGGGTGAGGTCAGAGGATGAGTGTGGGATTCTGAATCCTAGTGTGGGGCATAAGTGAGATACCTGCAGCTCTCTTGCTTTTAGACAAGGGCATAAAGAGCTTCAGAAATCCTCCCAGACCGAAAACATTCATAGAGACAGTTTCCTCCACATCTTGGCCAGGATCGGTAAGAATCAGATGTCTACATAGTTAGGTAGGATGGACTTGGCCTGGCCTGCAGGTTTCAGTACTTGTACACAGACTTGGAGGTGGCTTGGACACTTGCATTCTGAACATGACCATCAAATGTCATTACACTTGTGTGTGTGTGTTTTCTTCATTGGAGCTAGTCTTATCAATAGTACTCTTCTGTTACTTTGTGGTGAAGATAAATTTCATTATAGAAAGTGATCATGGCACATCAGTCACTTTTTTTCCACAGGCCAATTTGCTCTGTGTATGCAGCTACTCTTTGGAAAACAGTCATGACCTTGCCCATGGCCTTGAGTCAATTTTAGTGGTAGCTTTGGGAACTGAGCAGCTTATTCAGTAAAGGGCTCTTTGGGCACTTCTCCCAAAGAACTAGTGTTTTTGAACAAATGTGGCTTTATTTGAAGCATATTGTCCTGGGTTCAAATGTGGCGTCTCTTCTTTACTAGTCTTGGGCAAGGTCTGAAGCCTTTCAAAGCTTCATGACTTGGAGACAATAGCAAGGGGATTTAGCCAGCCTGAGCTTGGTGAGCATGGCTCTAACAAGCCGTCCCCTTCTCCCCCATTCCCTCTGCCTTACTCTAAACTATTAGATTGTATTCCTAAAGTTAGCAAGCAAGGTGTATTCCTTTTTTTTTGTACACTTCCTCCTCTTGAGGTTGACAACCAAGGTATAGCTATCAAAATAGTGAAGTCCAGCATCAAAAGCCTCCTTTAGCTCACCTAATTAACATGCTCAATTAAAATTAAATACCTTATCCTAACATGGGGTTTCTTCTTTTGCCCCCCCACCCGCCCAGTTTCTTTTTTTTTCTATTTTTTTAAAATTTAAATTAAAAATAAACTTGTTTTACATGTCAATCCCAGTTCCCTCTTCCTCCCCTCCTCCCCTGCCCCTCACTAACCTCCTATCCCCTTCTCTTTCTGCTTCCAGAGAGGGTAAGGCCTTCCATGGGGGAATCTTCAAAGTCTGTCATATCATTTGGAGCAGGGCCTAGGCCCTCCCCCATGAAAACAGTCATGACCTTGCCCATGGCCTTGAGTCATTTTTAGTCATTTGTGTCTAGGCTGAGAGAGTATCCCTCTATGTGGAATGGGCTCCCAAAATCCATTTGTATGCTAGGGATAAATACTGATCTACTACCAGAGGCCCCATAGATTGCCGAAGTCTCCTCACTGACACCCACATTCAGGGGTTCTGGAACAGTCCTATGCTGGTTTCCCAGCTATCAGCTGCAGTCCATGAGCTTCCCCTTGTTCAAGTCAGATGTTTCTGTGGGTTTCCCCAGCCTGGTCTTGACCTCTTTGCTCATCACTCCTCCCTCTCTGCAACTGGATTCCAGGAGTTCAGTTCAGTGTTTAGCTGTGGGTGTCTGCTTCTGCTTCCATCAGCTATTGGATGCAGGCTCTAGGATGGCATATACAGTAGTCATCAATCTCATTATTGGAGAAGAACATTTAAGGTAGCCTCAAGACTATTGCTTAGATTGTTAGTTGGAGTCAAACTTGTAGATCTCTGGACATTTCCCTAGTGCCAGATTTCTCTTTAAACCTATAATGGTTCCCTCTATGATGGTATCTCTTATTTTGCTCTCCTCTATTCTTCCCCCTACTCAAACTTCCTGCTCCCTAGTGTCCTCCTCCCCCCTCCTCTTCTCCCCTTCTCTTTCTCCTAGTTCCCTCCCCCCTCCCTCCATGCTCCCAATTTGATCAGGAGATCTATGTGCCATGTCTGTCTCCTCTCTGTATACAGAGGCAGTCATTGTTTTCCTTCAGGACAAATACCTCTTCCCCTCTTCCTTGTTCCCTTCCCCTTCTACCTCATCCTCTATAATCCCCTCTTTGTCTCTTATTTCCAGTACTTTGTCCCTCTGGGGCAAATACATCTTCTTTATGCTGAGAACTTGATCCTGGGGTATCCTGAGCTGATACTGATCCCTTTCAGTAGGTACTGGCAGGGTTGATGATACCTGTGGTTCCTGATTCTAGGGCAGGTCCATGATGGGAGATCATTCGGTGGCAGCTCTGGACTTTTCTCCCCAGGAAAACACAGAGGAGAGGACCAGGCCTCTGGAAATTGTTGGATCACAGCAGCTGATTTTATTGCCACAGGGCAATGAGTAGCTGGGAGTCTGCTATTAGCACGGCACACCTATCTGACTCCCTAATAGGACTCTCCAAATAGCTAGGCAGGAAAGCAGAGCTTTCCCCATAGTCTTTTTTTTTCACTGTAGTAGCAGCGCAGAGCCTCCAAGCAGTGTGTTCCATTTTCATGCACTTCGGAAGTTACTGGGGGAGATCATCTTCCATGTAAGAACATTTGAAGCTGACACTAGCTAGCTTCAGGGCATTTCTTCATTTTTTGCATAAACCATAGTTTTTAATTATTTCCGCACCACCATACATGTAGAATTGACGAGGTGCTGCGTCTTTGAGTGGCATTTTTCAGGAGGTGAATTAATAAGACTTAACATATTCTTTTCTGTTTACTGGAACGTGTACTCTTTTACAAACAAACCAACAAACACTTTCCCCAGTGTGGGGACCAAGCCTAGGCTTTCCTGCCTGCCAGGCAAGCACTCTATCAACTGAGCTTCACCCCCAGTCCTGGAAAATGTGCTTTGAATGGCTCATCCTTTAGAAGGTCTTTAAAATTCATGCATTTGTATAAACATGTACAAAACTATTACCTTTCCTTGCAGGTAATATGATGTACAGGTAAACTGTAATGGGTAAAAAGGAAGAAAGGGGATGCTGGACTTTTAATTTGGACATATGTGTTTTAGATAGGGTGTTCTTAATTTCATTTTTAGATATTACTTCATTATTAGATATTTTTTTAGCAAATGGTGAAAGGGTTTGTCAAGACCTTAAGGTGTGTTTCTTGTTTAATGGAGCTTCTAGCTTTTCCATAGGCCTCCATCTCTGACATTGCAGTGTGGCAAAGAACAGAATGAATGTGTGCAAAGCAAACCTGGTTCTTGCCTTGGGGGCAGAATTAGTTAATGATACTCATTCAGATACAGCATGATACAAATGGGGCATATTAAGAGGCTTAAATTAGGTCAAATTGAATAATTGAATTTATTTCATTACTTAAAAACAGCTTAATCAGCCGAGAGTGCCAAAAGTCTAAAAAAAGTTTCATTAAATATTAACAGGCTGCTTATGTTTTCAACTTCATCTTCACTTCAGTGACTGTGTTTCTTCCTTCCTTTGGTACCTTTTATAGATATTTGGAGATGAAGTGCAGCCCTTCTTTCTCGATGAAGAATTTGATTACGACAATGTGACTCTCACTCCCAAGTTCACTGCTGGAGAGATAGCGACTATCCAAGAACTGGCCAAGCAAAAGAGAATGGATACCAATAGAGACTTTTTTGAAGCCCACAACTGAGTTAGTAGATGTCTTTGTGTTTAGTTTTATTTTGTCCATATTCAACCAACATTAGAATAAAGCATCCACCAGCTGATTCCCGCTGTGGAAATTTACACATCTACACCATTTGTCACTGTTGTTTATCACCAGGACACAGAGTAACCAAGACTGAAGATACCACTTCCAGTGCTGAATTCTCTTCTGTCCCGTTGCTGTGTCCTGTGGTTGGTTGAGAAGATGGGAGAGGGAAATGGGGGCAGAAAATAAGGACTGCTGAATCTGCATTTGATGTGGGCACTGAACCAGGGCATGTGGATGTTGTACTGAATACTGGGAATATGAACCCATCTTCATGGAATTCTGGGATTAAAAATGGTACCATTAATCCATGTGTGATGGCCACAGAGTGGAGTGAGCGATCTCTGTCTCCAGAAGTTTAGGCGAGGAAAAGCAGAACAACTAGAGTATGAAATGATGTTATGGGGGCTGGTGAGAGGGCTCTGTAAAGGTGCTTGCTGGCAAGCCTGATGACTTTAGTTCATGGGAAGGTCACCATGGGAAGGTGGAGGGAGAGAAATGACCCCATAAAGCTGTCCCCTGACTTCCACGTGGGTACCATGGAATGCACACCCATAATACCCTTCCCCACTAATAAGAAATGAAAATTTAAAAAGGTATTATGGAATAGTAGTTATGCAGACTACTCATAAGGTCCTGAAGGCAAGGAGTAGAGAGGGATGAAGAGGAGGGGATGAGGTGGGTAATATGTGTGGAATATTGTTTGCTATTGCAGAAAGCAGTAACAGATGGACTTGGCATTCTTTTCTCTTTTGAGTAGACTTTACATTTTAGCATAGTCTTGGGAAGTGTAGAGTTGCCATACGTTCCCTTTCTCTGCTCCCCCATGGTTAACACCACACACCACAGAGTATCGAGTACGTTTGTTGCTGCTTTGGTTTGGTTCTTTGCTGTTGTGCTTTTTCTTCTCCTGTGGTTAGAACACTTCACATGAGAGCCAGCATCTTAAATGCGTGGCCACATAGTTCAGTGTTACAGACCGTAGACAATACGGTTTGTGGCAGATCTGAAACCACACTTACTTCTCTCCCTGGCTTCTGACAGTGGCTGCTTTCTGCTTCTGAATTTGACTGTTAGAGACACCCCGTGGAAGTGGAGATGCAGTGTTTGCCCTTTAGTGACTTTCTTATTTCACATTAATTATAATATTCTCTAGGTTCATTCACATGGTCACATATGGCAGGATTTGTTCTTTTAAAAGACTTGATAGTATTGTGTTGTGTACATATACCACTCTATCCATCAGTCTGAACATTTAGATTGTTACTATACCCTGCTTCTTGTGAGTCATGCTGCAGTTGTGCTTGTATATGTATGAGGAGTTGTGTGTGTATATATTCATAAAAATGCTGTTTACAGTCTGTATAAAAGATTTCTCTCAATTTCATCTTTCAGAAGATTCAAATGATTTGCATATTTATTTTTATTGACTCAACAAACTTTCACCATTTATGACTCAAACCTTATTTACACTAGGCAGTGAGGAAGATCTAAGCAACTCAGACAGGCCTTTTAGTGAGGAAGAGATATAAATGCATGAACAATTTTGGCAGAGCTGCAGTGCCCAGTATAACAGTCACTAGCTGCATCCCAGTGTGTGGAAAAGAGATGCAGCTACTGTGACCAAGGAACCGAGTTATATTACTTGATTTTTATTTCAGTATAAAACCAAGAAATATTTAGCTCACGTAGCAGAAAGCTTTCAAGTAAATTTAGAACAACTTTGGAATGTGACTCTACTTTTTCAACTGTACATTTTGTAAATCTAAATGTTGGATCAGTGATTATGTAGCTGCATGTATGTACTAGTAATTATTTTTGATGGCAATATAGTGTCTTAATTTAAAATATGCTCTGCATTGGAGTTTGATGGAGTTAATGGGGAAAATATATTACATCATTTTTGTATCATGTGTTTGAGTGACAGGTCACCTGGCTAAATGAAATATATTATTAAAATTTATCATATCAGAAAGCCTAAAATTTTACACATCACATGCATGTTTTTATTCAGTGGCACCACAGCATATGGTGACCTGTGTATTATGTTGTACCAAAGGGTACTGCAGAAAAGCAAGTTGAAGGTATTTATAAAGGTGTAATTGAAGGTATTAATTAACTAACTAACTAATTTTGCTGTAATCAATACCTAACAATAACTTAAGGCTTATTTTGGTTCACAGTTTAGAGAAATGCATCCTGTCATAGTGTGGAAGGCATGACAGCAGGGGTGGCCTATTCCATGATGCCACCCAGGAAACAGAAAAGGGGATGGATATCAATATTCGGCTGGCTTTCCTGTTTTTACTCAGTCTGCCACTGGGAACCTGCTCACCCTGAGGGTTTGCACTCCATGAGTCTTAATGCAATCAGGCTGGCAATTGAAACTGCCCACCGTAGGAAGCTAGGGAATTGTCACAGAGGAGACAACAGTTGAGTTTGGTCATGAATCAGTAGGAGTGTTAGAGTCAATCAAGCAGGAGGCCGTTAGAGGTGGAAATAGCATACTTACTGTTTGTGATTCCTAGAGTGACCTATGATAGTCATATCTTCAGGTTTGAATGAGTGGGTTTATTAAGTGTATACCAATCCAAAGTCAAAGAACAAATAGCTAGTAGTATAGTGATAATGAAACACATCAAAAAGATGCTCACAATTTCCAGTCAAAGCTGCCATAAAGGCAGTCACCTAGAGTTCCAGATGGAGATAGTCCTGGGCAGAGCAGAGTGTCACCTCTGGTGAGCCTTCCGAGTAAGACAACAAAAGGTAACATCATCAAATTGGGCACTCAGCCTCCGGCAGAGACTGGAAGAGGGCGAAAGATTCCAAGAGTAAAAGCATCATGTCCCTGAAAACAGCGGAAAGGTAAATCCTTTCCAACAGAAGTTATTATTGTTCATCCTGCAATATAAAATGCCTGCTGTGGGAAAAAGAGAGTGGGGTGCAGCCATGAGACGCTGAGCCATGGAGAGAAATCTTAGTTGGAAACTCCAGCTGCCTTACCTTCCCCAGTCTCTGCCAGAGGCTGTGAGTGGGTTTATTTCAGGGTCTTCCATTGGTATCCCATTGGTCTATTTCTTTCTGTGCCAATATCATGCTGTCTGTCACTATGGCCCTGCCTGTAGTTTGAGGTTAGATATTGTGTTTCCTCTGGCCATGTTCCTTACGATTTATTGACTTCTCTGTGTTCTCATACAGAATTTAAAGGGTTTTGAGTTTCTGTTGCTATTCTATGAAGAATGCTGTTGGAGTTTTGACATCAAACCCCAAACCTTTAATCCACAAAATGGGCTAATGAACTAAACAGTTTTTTAAAGAAGAAATATGAATGGCCATTACATACTTTTACTATTTTTTCCACATTCTTAGGCATCACAGGAATGCAAATTAAAATTACCCTGAGATTCTATCTCATTCTAGGTAAAATGGCTGCCTTTGAGAAACTGAACACAACAAAGACTGGTGTGTATTTGGGGAAAGAAATCTATTCCTTGTTGATGGGTCTAAACTAGTATAATCACTACGCAAATCAGTGTGGAGGTGTCTAGCTACACTATTCTTGAGCAAAATATCCAAAGGATATCTTACCATGGAGATATTTGTATAACCATGTTTATTGGTCATGAGTCAGTAGGAGGTTTTAAGTCAGTGAAGGGGGAGGATGTAAGTTTGAGAGCGAGCAAAAGACATATTGGTGAGTGACAAACAGTTGCTGAGAGCAGAGAAAGGGAAGCTGGTGCTCGGCTGGCTTTCTTCTTTTGCTCCTTCATCCACTCTGGGATGCTAGCTTATGAGGTGTTTACTATAGAAAACAGATGGAATCAGCCTAGCTGCCCACCAACAGATACTGAAATATGACATATAGACCCAGTGGACTTTTACTCAGCAATAAAGGAAAATGAAATTAAAGAATTTGCAGGAAAATGAACTCAACTGGAAGATATTGTGTTGAGTGTGATAACCCAGATTCAGACAAAGATCGTGTTTCCTCTCATGTGTGGATCATAGCTTTTAATTTTATATATTTATGTATTTTACATATGTTTTCATATATTCATATGGGAATGAGTGTGAGCTGAGACCAGGAAACTAGAAAAGGGCCCATTAAAGTAGAAAAAGATGTTCTAAGGGAGAAGTTTGGAGGGGAGTGGGGGGTGGACCACAACTATCTACTAAAACATCTAAAGGAAACCGTTACTTTGTATGTTTTTTTTTTTTTTTTTTTTAGATTTTATTTACTTATTATGTATACAGTCGTCTGCCTGCATGCCAGCAGAGGGCACTAGATCTCATTCAAGGTGGTTGTGAGGCACCATGTGGTTGCTGGGAATTGAACTCAGGACCTCTGGGAGAACAGTCAATGCTCTTAACCGCTGAGCCATCTCTCCAGCCCTCGTTACTTTGTATGTTAACTTTAAAGAGAACTTCACTAGAAGAAGTTAGAAATATAGGTCGGGTCTATATTGAAGGCTGTGTGCTGTAGGTTCTGCTCGCTAGTTGATGGGGAGCTAGTTAAGATATTTAATCAGAGGGGAGATAAGATTCAAAGTGTATTTCAGAAAGACCCAGATATATGGAAGGTAAAATGAACAGCATTCCATCAAATGTGGGAGACAAGTTTGGCAACTGTGAGCAGCTGGTATGGGGTAGGGCTTGGAGTGAGGTGGTGTGGGGCAGTGCAGGGCATAGATTGGGCTAGAGATGTTGGGGAAGAAGTGTGAGGGTGTGGACTGCAGCACTGTTGGAACAAGGGAGATTCCTGGAGGCGCTAGGAGGTAGGCAGTTGATGTACACGCTGACAAGACAACCCCCCAATGTAATTCTTTACAGGGTTAGAGACTCTGGACTCCATATACTATCTTGGTGTTTAAAATAAAGCGAAAATGGCACCATCTTAAAGATAGTCCCATTTTGTTTTGTAATAGAAGAAGCACAGTCTTTAAACACAGTATTTAAAATACGTTTCAGTGGCACATTTCCTTGTTTACCCAGGCAGGGAAGGTGGCAGGTGGATGTAATTGGTGGAACAACCTGAAGATAGGCCA